ATTCTATTTTCTTTTGGGTTTAGATTAAAGAGTCATGGCACACTTTGCAACGTAAAGCCCAGGGATAAAACACATCAAGAGCCAAGCAAATGGCGGTGATCCAGGGGATTTAACAGATAATCCATGTGAGTTACACTGAGATGCTGTTGTCTCTTATTCTGATTTTATGTACAGAACCTTGCCTGGCTGTATCTCTGAACATATTGACTTTTACGTAAAGTTGTGTGATTCTCTCACTGAATGTCCCTTCTCCAGACTGTTACATATACAAATTGAAAATATTATCTTCTCGTGTTCAAACTAGTGTGTTTATTTGTATATTTTTTTCCAAAATTAAATGAGTAAAATAAAGCCACATTTTCAGTTGTTTCTGAAATACAGTATTTGGAATCCTCTCAGTGTTCTTCAGGGTCAGAAAATTAATCATCTGTCTTCTGTGGTGTTTGTTTCATCGGCGTCCATTTTGTACTGTACTTTTGTACCAGTACAATAATTGATTGGTTTTAGGACTGTGCACATTTTACTCTGCTTCTGAGACACAATGTCTATAAAGTTTGTGAAGCAGCAATAGATATTTGTCACTTCATTATATTGGTTTTTTGAACCCCTTGACTCAGTATTTCACATACAAAGAAATACATGTTGCTGTACATAAACTAATCAATATATTTAAAATCAAGTACAAAATCATGGAAATACCATCAGTAGAAAAATTTATTGATCTCACACTGCATTGGGATGAAAGTTGAGGAATGCAAGTTGTCAACAACAAAACCCATAGACAAGAAGTTTATCAGAGATCAAATTGGGTGAGTGATGATATTGCCTTCAGAATGGACTTTTTTCAAGAGGTTTAGAAAAAATGTTATCTGAAATTAAACAAATTATTGGAGAAATGTAGTACTTACGTAAATTAACCCTATACTAACCTGTAGTAATCTTTGTGTTTTGTACGCCAATTAACACTGTCATGATGCACTTCTAAGTTCTGCAGTTAGATGGCTTTGCCCATGATGAGAAGGCTCATTAAAAACACCATTATGAAAAATATCCACATAAAGAAGCGGTCTAACACTTTGGCTACTTTCTTCCACTCCCCAGTCCTTTTCTGCATGGCCCTCTGATCTCTGTAACAGTTGGCTATGTATTCAATGTTACGCAGCAGCTGCCTCTCATTGCTTTGGGTGCTGCAGGACATCTCTCTGTCTTTTCTCTCTCCATCACTCACCCTCCCTTCCTGCATCTCCTCGGACCCCCGAATCTCCACAGTCCATGCTCATGAACATGCCGTTTTTCCAAGTGCTGTAGTGGTTGGTAGGGTTCTTCCCTAATGAGCCTATCGGACTCTTCATCTGATCCATGTCTTCGCTCTCCTCTGCGATCATGGAGCCCACAGTCTCTTGCCCTCTCTCCATTTTTAAGATGCCATCCTCCATGCCTGGTCCTGCCTGACCATTCATGGTGCAGTTGGTGTTATTTACAGTTGGAGGCTCCTGTCTCTCTGGTGGTGGTGACATACAGTTCTCTCCGACTTCATAAACAAAACACATTCTGGCCATGTGCTGCAGAATGACTTTCTTGGCCCATTTAGGAACAGGCTTGGCATCTGGGCCACAGTGGTGTATGTTCATGATGAAGATGGTCAGGGCAGTGGAGGCAGTGATCATAGTCATCGTGCAATGTAATACTTTCCTGTGGAAGACAATAAGACATAGAGTTGTAACACACAGTCATTACACACGTTGGGATTTGACCCCATTTTATTGCCCTACCAATAAGTGGCACATTCTCAGAGGGTGGCATAATCTCTGCAACCAACAGTTGAAAGACAGTGAGCGCCAACATCACGGTGACACCCAAAGACACCTTTTCTCCAGAGTCAGCAGGCAAGTAGAAACCCAGTGGAGCCAGGAAAGAGATCATCACACATGGTATGAGCAAGTTAAAGACATAAAAGGAAGCTCTTCTCTTCAGTTTCAGTGTAGGTTACATCTGGGTAAGGGTCAGCGCAGCAGCCATACAGAATGATGTTCTTCTTAGCTGGCATACCCAGCACCTCCCACTCCACATTTTCCACCAGGTCAGCCAGGTCAGCACTCTCCAAGGCATTCAGGATGTCCAGCTGGATGCCATTGTAGGTCCAGGAGCCATACGTGAACCTGCACTGCTGAGCATCGAAAGGGAAAAAAGATACATCCACTTTGCAGGAGCTCTTGGTGATAGCTGGAGAATCCCACATTATCTGGCCATCATGCCGGATCACCACATTGGTGTCCATGGAGCCAGTGAAATGGTCATCAGCACTGAAAGGCAAAGAAAACTTGTCTACAGAGAGAAATTAGAGCAGTGGTGTTCACATGTATACCAAGAGCGAATAGATGAAGAGCAAATTTTGGATACCTTTAATAAATCATTAAAGAGCAGTTGTAATTTTGTTGGGTAGGTGGAGAATGATTTGAAAAAGAAGCTTGATCGGGATACAAAGGCACAAGAATACCAACTGAGGGAAAAGACAACACATTAGGAGAGTTGTACTCATTCCTCAGATTTTTGTCTGCATTTTATATCTGTGTGTTTGTGTTTGCATGTGTCAGCACCTTGTTTGTGGTCGTAGTATGAGCTGTTATCATTACCTATGTAATGTCAGCAGAGGCATCTCTTGGGAATCTTGTTACCTCTGATTTTAATTGTAAAATTTCAATATTTGTTATTATGTTTTTCTTGTCAGATTTATTATAAAAAGTTATATTACTGGTGTATAAAAAGCAGACAGAGGCCTGGACAATCCTATAAATAATGACTTCAAGGAATGTTCAGCTTGTGCCTTTTATACTGACCAACGGGAGACAAAAAGGGATAATAATTAAATGATTAACCCAATACCAGTCCGACCTACTTGTTATATAGGACTATATCAGGTCTCCATACATAACTACTAGGTATGCGGATGGTATCAAGTCCATCGTAATCATCTTATTCCATTTGAGGTATGCATCAACCCACACTTGCCGTATCCATAAAATGCTGTCAAAATTTGGTTTCGCTCATCCTGTAAAACATTAAAAATTATAGAAATTTACTGGCAACAACAGGGGATATATTACAATAAAATAATTTAAATATGAAAATATAAAGATGCATTACTGATGTAATACTATTGTGTGGGTATCTGCACAGAATATTTTTAACCATACAATCTCGTGGTGACTTGTGTGCACTGTGGTGTTTTACCATGTCGATAATTTGTGACAGTGTAACTTGCAGGGTCACATTCAGTATGGTGTTTGTGTCCTCCACAGGCCTCAGCGCACTAGTATAGTTGGTGAATAAATCATTCAGGAGCTTCTGAGCATACTTCCCATGAGCACACCAACAGGCTAAGACAATGAGAGAAACAATTCACAGGCATATCACCACCTGTTGTGTTTCTGTTAATTATGATATAACATTTTTTCAGTCAGACAAAATTAAGGACATTCTGATGTTCAATTCTCTGGACAGCGATATTCAGAGCAAAAGCAGCCGTGCTAAGGTCAGAAGAAAGGGAGAACGTGGGTGGAAATGTGAATGCATGACAGATGGTGGAAGGGGATAAAGGGGATGTCAAGCATCTATAAAGCTCTGGAAGGAAATCATGAAAATCTGCTATTATGTAGCAGCGGCGACCTTCTCTGCTCCGACTATGTATGTGAGGTTTGTCATGAATGAATGATTGAATGCTTAATCCACAGAGTTACAACACGAGTATTAAAATGGACATAAACAGGGAGATTAAACATTATTGTGCTGTGAAAACATGATTGTGAAAATGTTATTCCAAATAAACCATTTCAAGATATCTTTTTTCATTCTTTATAAGGAAATTATTACTTCTACATTTATTTTAACTGGAGCTTATTTCCTGCGTCAACAATGGATTTGGGCTTGCCAGATGTTAACCCTGAAACGCTGTTTCAGTAAAGCCTCTGATACAAAGAAGGTCTATGGGATTATGATGATAGCAAATCCCTTAACAACTGGCTCCAAGTTTTGTCAATTCTGGGTTACAGCTTGCATGGAAGAGGAATGGAAATTTGAGGAGAAATGGATGATCAATAAAATATTAGAATAATGATAAATTACAAATGACAGACAATATTTTATGCAAATGTTCCTTCTTCATCCATCTTTGCTGGTAGGCACATTGTTTGATTTCTCTCTAGATTTAACTTTAAATGGCCTATATCAAGTGAAGGTGTTAGATTGTAAGGAAAAATAACGGTAACTTACTTGGCAAAATACTGGCACACAGAAGCAAGCAAAATAAAGTTTGGACTCTCCATCGTTTCATCTTGCAGAAACAAATTATCTGGATCCAAAGACCATCTGAGTTGCTCTGTAGCCTATCCAACAAGGTTCATTCACTAAAAAACATAAAAGTAAAAGAAAATCTTTCTGACAGCGAATGTAGCTGTGCTGCGTTTGGGAACTGCACAAGGCCATTAAGTGCACTGAGAGAGGCGGGGCAGCGGATTGAAGGACCAAGTTCTAATACAACGCTACCACATGTTAACCCCATACACACATGCCATCCGACTTACACAGCAAGCTACACACACACACACACATACACGCACGCACACAGAGCAAGATATGTATTTGAAATATGTTGGAACAAAATAAAAATCGATCCTTTCTCTGATCTAGTGCAGCACCACGGAGAGCTCCCAGCTTCGTCCTCTAATTAGAATCAATCAATAAACCCTTACTTGTACATGCATATGCTTTTTTTCATTGTGGCAAATTATTATTAAGAGACACATTTTACACATTATTTAGCATGTGGTCGGTTAGTGGTACGCCCAAACATAGCACCCTCAGTTCTCTCCTCCGCTCACTTTCTCTTCCGGGTGCTGATGTTTATCAATGCATTTTCCTCCTACCGTCTACCGCACGACAAGGATGTTGCATCCGCGTGCCTATTATCATCTTCTACGAGAATTCAGCTGAAATATAGTGGATGCAAACATGTCGCAGGATTATAAAATGGCTGGAGGATCCCCAGTTCTTTTTGTAAGACATTGCACCCTGTTGTTGGTATCCGGGATATTCAGGTCCATCCTGCAGCCCAATATAATGAATGTTAGGCTATTGTGATAGCGTAGTTATTGACAAGCCAGGTGTGTGCAGTTTGCAGTTGTTGTTATTACCCCTAGTGGAGGTAGGTTGATTTCGTTTTTCAGACTTTAGATGCTCAGGAAATGCATGAATAGCCTATGTATCAAAATGTCACCGCATAAATGTATTACAGCCTATATGCAAACGTGTTTAGAAATCTAGCTTATTTACAGTCGTATAGCCCATTTGACTGTGAGATGTCTAATAGGCATTGATCGCCTTTGTAAGATTAAAATATTTTTTCATTGTTTCAGACCACAATGCTACAAGGCTCAAATATCTTGGGGCACGAGAGGCCCCTGGTCATCAGGATATCGTTCACCACCTGTGTTCTGGCTACTGTGTGCCTACCACTGCTTGGATTGATAACGTGCGTCTTCATATCCTCTGTTTTTCATTTTGAGGACTCTACTGGTACACACTGCCAGGTAATGATCTTATTTTGCAAACTGAACCAACCATGTTTTTCTTTTGATGCTCCATACATTTTTGAAACTCTACTGAATCATTGCTGTATGTTTCAGGTGCCAAATTACCTGCCATCAATAAGCGCCTCAATAAGCCTAAGTCCTGAGTGCCACATATGGCGGTTCTGCATCGGATTGCATTCAGCACCGAGGCTCCTGGTGGCGTTTACATACTTCAAATTTTACAAGACACGTTTTTCCTCGAGGTTCCCAGAGAGTTCACTCACCTGCTTGAACTTTGCATTTTCTATTTCTGAAAACCTTGGCCTCTTGCTCCTCACATATGTGTCATCCAGTGAAACATATTGTGAGTAATTCACATTTTAGTTACTATTTTACATTTTAGTTGGAGAGTTTGCACTCAAACCATAGGCTTCATTTATACTGGGGACGCTGGGGACATGTCCCCCACATTTTGAATTGGCTGATTTTGTTCCCATCACTTTTTGAAAGCATTTGTTAAAAACATTCAGGAAAATAGCTTGCATTAAGAAATGTTCCAACTAATGAAAATGCTTTGAGATTTATTTACACAATAACAAAACATGCAATGCAATGTAAATAGAAGAAGCAAATGTGCATTGTCCAAAAAAGTTTTAAAAAATGTAAAAAAAAAAAAAAAAAAAAAAACAATCTTCTGATTACTGCATTATATTTTGGAATATTTTTATTCATAAATTCTCTGCCTGCTGAATTTTTGTTTCCCTTTATATATATGGACATTTCCACCGTAATTTGGAGAATAAAATGTTTCCAGAATGCAGGAAAGTGTATAATGCTCTAATTTTCTGGGGAGGACCCCCAGACTCCCCGCTCATATATTTCAGCATTTCTTATTTCTTCAAAATAGTGTTAAAATTTTTCTCTTCTTGTTCCTAGTGCATCAGCCCATCTCGTGACCCAAGTGTATCATTAAGCCTCTAATCTGAGCCCTTATATCCCCAACAGTTTGAAGCACAATTCAGAGTTGGGTCACTAATGCACTGATTCAAAGTTTACTTTTATTTGACAATCATTAATTTTTACTGTCCTCTACTGACCAAATTACTCTCTTTCTTTGTGTATTTATGCCCAATTAGTTGTACATAAGGAAGGTTTTGTCCTCTTCATTGTCAGTTCTATTATCTACATGCTGATAACCTGCCGTTTATGGAAGGCTATTAAGAAGTATTCATTAAGTCCTGAGGTAAGACATGCCAAATCACAACACTGTTATTTTCAGTATTTCAGTCCAATTCCGTATTACTTTTCCCCTTCCCTTACAGGATGCCAAGTCTCACCATTGGAAAGTGCGCTTCTTATTTCTCAACGTGTCCTTTTGTGTTTTGGCCGGATTCTTTTATTGGAAACACAACATGTACTGTGAATCAGGGAGTAAGTATTAAATCAGTTCCATCATTTCGGTTTAATCTGTAAGCGCTGAATGACACAACATTTGAAAACATGGTAGTCCTATGAACACTAAAGTAAAATTGTAGCTACAAAACGCTGACAAACATATGTAGATCATGTGCCCCTGTTTCTTCCTTTCACAGGTTATACATTGTTTGCCCTGTTTGAGTATCTGGTGGTCTTCTCCAATATGGCCTTCCATCTCACAGCAGTGTGGGACTTTAAGAGTCGTGAGGTCATGGTCATTTCATCCTCTGAAGATAAAGACTTCTGACTAGAAACTCAAGGATTAAGTCCTAAACATACAGCCACTCAACCACCTGATGATAACAGCCTTGATCCTTCTCAGGAGGAAGAAGATTGGGATGAAGGCCTTTTCCATATATTTCCATGAGGGTTTAGATGTCAGAGATGTTTGAA